TTCTTTAAGTATTTTTGGGGGCTGGGGTTTGGGGTTCAGGTTTTGGGGACTTGGGTTGAGCCTCAACGCGATATCAGTGGCGTCGAATGCTCATACAAACGTTGGTTTGGCGGTGTTTTGACAAATTGGATTTTGATGAGATGGTGCGTCCGCAGTCCGGACACTTGAACGGAACTTTCAGGTTCTTGTGGTAGTATTTTTTGAAGTAGTCTTCATCTAATGGTCTTTTTGTCGTAAGTGCCGTCGGGTTTATAACGACTTCTTGAAGTCGTTAAAAAGAGCCCCTGGCTGTTTCCATCTACTCTGGTTTGCTCTTGGTGTGTTGTTTGGTGTTGTTGGTTGATGGAGGGCTTCAACCATTTGGTCAAAGATGTCCTCATCCATTTCTTGCTTCTTTCCGTCAATGACTAAATAACAAGGCATAATATCTTAATTCTATAAGGCGACATTTCTTTAAGTGTCTTTAGGTGTGCTGTTGAAAGGTGCGGTGCTGTGTTCAACGAAATCTTCACTCAAAATCCCTGACCTGCCACTTGCCACGAAGTCTTCACTCCAATTCCCTGACCTGCCACTTGCCAAGAAATCTTCACTTACTAATCTCTGTTCCTGCCACATTTTGGACAGCTAGTTAAACCGATGAGTGGATGGGAGTGATGTAAAAATGTTTTATTTTCCCCCAAAAGGTTATTCATATGTATGACCATTTACGGTCTTATCCTACTACAGAAAGGATGGTGGTGAATGACAGTGTGCTTATCTTTCTTCGCTCCTCATCATCACCGACCACCCTTTCTGTGATGTCTTACTTTTATTTTTATATATATATATATAAACAGAAAGAAAACTCCAAATTCAAAAATCAAAAAGAATCTCTTCTCTGGGTTGCTGGGCCGGTGGGGGTTTGCCTTATGGGTCAAAGCCACCTTTGCTCCCCCCATCCAGCCCAGCACCCTTCTCCTTCTTTCTCTTTCTTTTTCTTCCTAAATATAACAAAAAAAACGCGAACAACGCCACTCGAAACGAACGCCACGCTCCCAACCCCACGAAGTCAAAGTCCTCAACACCTTCTGACCAGACAGGATACACATAAATGCGATGTATATACAGGAATATACTTACAAAGATATATGGGTGTCTTATAATACAGTCTTATTATACAATGAGTGATGTTCCAAAATCACACCTTCCGTTCGTTGGTTGAAGAGTTCTTCAAATGTCAGGCTCTGACGGACTGATTGGTAACCTTGGTAAAGAAACTGGTTTCAATCTCTGGTTGAAGTGATTGTCAAAAAGGTTTGACTTTGAAGTCTTGTTCCAAACTCTGGTTGGACGGAATGCACCTTCAGAAAGACAAACACGGTGATGTTTCCTTGACCTCGGAGCGGGGTGATGCAAACGATGCAAGTAAAGGTCTGAGGCATTCATTGCATCACTCACGATGACAAGCTCAAGACTGAAGGACTGCCTTTTCTCTCCATCCTACCGGTCTCTGATTGACAATGAATTCGTCATCCCAAGCTCCAACGGAGGCAATCTAATGCATCCGCCGCTTTCAAACGGACATCTGACAGCTGTGCGAAAGTCAATGCGAGACCCCGTGCATAACGAGATTGTCCTGACAAAAGAGTTTCCTTTCATCACAGTATTGGGGATGCCAATACTCGATACCGAAGGTTTTAGAACCCACATAACGAGGGTATTTCAGCAAAAATACTCGAATACCGAGGGCAATGAGAACCTCAATACCGACAGTATTCGGAAGTCAAATACCATGCCTGTGATGAAAAACCCTTTTCAGTGAGACTTCCTAACAAATGATGCATCTACGTGCTCCATTGCTTCCCTCATTGATGACTTCCTCAAAGCCATTGTCGTTCCCGTTCTGGGAGTTCGCCACACGACGGAGCGCCTGACGGAAGGTCATGGCACTGTCAACCTCGCCGATGAACTTCTCATTGTTGAAATTCACGCTTGTGCCATGGCACTGATTGTAGGTCAAAGCGAAGCACTCGGTGTAGGTGGTAAGGATGGTGTCCTTCGCAAGGTTGATGTGTTCCAAGTAGAGGTCTAGCTTTGCCATGTCCTCCTCCAACACGATGGGACAGGTCTGGATGAGCTTCTCCTCGGTGATGGTCTTGGTGGATGAGGCACTGTTGTTCTTGTCCTTGGGGGCGAAGATGCGCTTCAAGGCACGAAGTTTGTCTTCGTCCATCTGCTCCAACACCGCTTTGATGTTGGTCTCTCCGCTCTTCACCTCCCTCTTGAGTGTCTCCATTTTCTGTCGGATGGGGTTGAGGATGGACTGAAGCTCTGGTGGCTCTTGCGTCTCAACCTTCACGAAGCTCATGCGCTTCCTGATGTTCTCAATGGAGCGCTTCATCAACTGCTTCACACCCTCTTCTTGCTTGAGGTGCGTCTTGATGACACGACGGGTCGCCATTGTCAAGGGCCGATGACGCAGGAGATGACAAAGCAAATTCGTGCCAAAATGGCTATGAAGTCTGCGTTCAATCTCATTGACAACACCCGTAAGACTGTTGCAAGGCTCTCACCGACGCCAATCGACGAAAGCAACTCTGCGAAAACTGACCATGCAAACTGACCTGAATGAGCATCGCTCTTTTTCTCATCGACCCATCGACCCATTGAGGCGAGAGGAGGGTATGACGCGAAGTGCGCGTGAAAATGAAAAAGGGTGGTCGGGTCTTCTTCAAAGCAGAAATCTTTACACTGCACGGACTGCCCGCCACTCCGCGCCAAGTCTAGCACATGAACAGCTACAAACTGAACCAAGGTGGTCGGGTCTTCTTCAGTGTGGTGGCAATCATTACCACACTGCGCGGACTGCCCGCCTCGCCGTGCCAAACTAAATCTAAAAGACAGCGTCGGAAAAAAGATTGGTAGCGAAACATTGACGCTACTGTGTGAGGTGGTGAAGTGTGTTCTCGTGGGAATTCACCTGCTTCGCTAGCTCGTGATGTTGTCCTTGTAGCTCTTCAATTCGGCGGCTGTTCCTTTTCATTACATAATCGACCTGGCGTTGGATACCCTTCTGAGCTTCCGAGAGTTCCGTCATAGCCGCAAGCACCATTGCCTGAATCTTGTCCTCAACCTCCTGCACC